CAGAGATTGCATCCACTCTTCAGGAGACATGAATGGATGATTTGTTATCTTCTAGAATTACATTTCTGTTTGGCAAAATTAGTCATTTTTTTGCATATTACAATTTTTTATTGTTAAATATGTATAAAATATATATCCGAGGAGTATTTAGACAGCAAGACTTCTTTTTAAAAGTGGTTATATATATATATATATATATATATATATATATATATATATATATATATATATATATATATATATTCTGTTTATACATTATATTTATAGTTCCAAATATTTAAGTAAATGTTCTGTTTATAATAAACAGTATTAACTACATTTAACGGCCTGAAGAATGTCTGAGAAATTTCATAGAAAATGTGTATAAGTTTCATAGAAAAATATTTTATGGGAAATTTGTTGTCTAAAGACAGTAATTTAACTTTGATAACCAGATGCTTCTTCTGCAGCTAAATGGCACAGCACGTCAAGCTTTCGTGTAGGATACAGATTTGATTTCTGTCAGAGGACAGATATTTTCTATGAAATTTCTCAGATATTCAGACTGGTAAATGTTGTTAATACTGTTTTGTGTAAACAGTGCATTTACTTAAATATTTGTATCTATAAAAATAATGTATAAACAGAAAATATGTTAAAATAAACACTTTATCTAGTTATATATATTTATTGCTTCAACGTTATTCATAGTGATTACTTGTATTTGTGCATGAGTAAACACTCTAGTTATTAAACAATATTTATTTTCATCTACAGGACCGAATATTCAAGAAATCCTATTAGTAACATCTGCACTCTCTGGTAGGATTCAAACCTGTGTTCCCCAAGAGAAAACCATCGTTAGATCTGAACTATTTTGATCTCTCAGATACCAACTATGTCAATTGCCAAGCAAAGTCTGAATTGTGCCTTTAAGCGCAGATTTTTCTCCAACTCTTTAAATAAACATACATGCTCAGTATTGAATCCTAGTGTAAACAAAGCAATTTCTAAAGAAAGGAATGATCTTTTTTATTTATTAATGCGACATATTTTTATTGCTTAAATGTTATTTTTGTGGATACTTGTATTTGAGTAGATGCTCTGTTTATTAAACAGTATTTTCTTTTGTCTATCGGCTTGAATATTTGAGAAATCTTATTAGAAAAATATCCACTCCCCAGTAGTATTCGAACCTATGGAAATAAAAACTGTTTTATAAATAAACAAAACATATACTCAAATACAAGTATCCACTATATATATATATATATATATATGTATGTATGTATATATATATATATATATATATATATATATATATATATATATATATATATATAAAGTGAATATTGAAGTCAACACTTAAAAGGCAACAGGCTGTTTCATGCTAGACGCAATCATCAGGCCTGACGATTGCATCTAGCATGAAACAGCCTATCGCCTCTAAGTGGTGACTTCAACGTTACACATGCTCTATCTCTGATATTGAGCACTTTTTGAGTATATTTCTTCATATATATATATATATATATATATATATATATATATATATATATATATATATATATATATATATATATATATATATGCATTAATCCTATATGAAATGCATGTATTTCGGCAGCAGGTTTCGTTCAATAATTTAGACATGTTCTGTCTACTTATTTTCGATAAGATCCTTTCATACTTGCAAATAAGCTTTTTTGTGTTGTTGTTAAAAGACAAGAGGAAAACACCATGTTGGCTCATCTTGTATTTTTAGCAAGTTTAAAAAACCATCTATCTACCTTAGATATGTAGATCATATCCTTTTATTATTCAAAAATAAGGGAGAAATATGTAAACTCCAAAAAACAGTTCAAAGACAACTCCGTCCTTAAGTTTACATATGAACTTAGTGACAAAATTACCTTTCTCAATATACTGATTAACACCAATAATAATAAGTTCACCATCTCCCCATATAAAAAAAAAAACTACCAGCATAAATTCCTGTACTGTTAACTATAAAATAAAAACCTAATAAACCGTGTAAAAACTAATTCATCCTCAAAACAGATCTTCAACAGCGAGCTTAAAAATATAAAAGAAACACACATCAATAACAATTTCCCCAACTACATCATTGACAAGCAAATAAGATGCTTCATCAGAGACCTCTATACAAAACATATAGAATATAATACCCCTCCAACTAACACCAAACATATCAACCTTTAATGTCATAACCAGATTCATGCTAATTATAAACAAGATGAAAATATCCTAAAAAAATGAATAAAATCTAATACATCCCCCACAGACCCAAGTAAAAATATAAAATTTATTATATTCTACACTAAATCCACTATATCTAATAAAATCATTCGTAATGTTGTTAAAAATGTCTTTGAGAATCCAAAATCAGGGTTCAGTGGGACAGGAATGGTCAAAATCTGAAAAAAAATAACTAAAAAATAAAAATGACTTCATTAATAAAAATATATATATATATATATATATATATGGATTTTTTATTTATTAATCTGACAGAGTTTTATTGCTTAAGTCTTATTTTTAGTGGATACTTATATTTGTGTAGAGACACTCTGTTTATTTATTAAACAGTACTTTTTTGTCTATCAGCCTGAATGTTTGAGAAGTCTCATTAAAAAATAATGTTTAGCTAATAAAAATCTGTTTGATTAATAAATAAAAACCCATTCCTTTCTTTAGAAATTGCTTTGTTTATGTCAGGATACAAAACTCAACAGAAATGTTTATTTCAAAAGTCAGAGAAAAATCTCTGTTTAAATGTTTAATGTATAAGTAATAAAAATCTGTCTGATAAATAAATCAAAAATCCATTCAGTTGGGTTTTTTTTTATTATTAATTATAACTAAATGTAAAAAAAAAAGGCTAAAAATATTGGGAACATTGATAAGAAAAAAGAAAAATGCCAACACTGAATAACACTAACTATGAATGTTACTATAGTGTACAGAACGTGTTTTGGAAAGAAAAAACATTCACATAGCTATAGGTAAATCTACACATTCAGTTAGAATAAAAGATGAGAAAAAATTAACAGTATATTTATTTATTTTTGTCTAACACACTGAATGTCCGAGAAATCTTATTAAAGAAAAATTTACGCTCTCTAGCAGGATTTGAGCCTGCATTTCTCTGGACAGAGGAAGCTACCATTCCCTCTCCCTCCCTCCCACCCTCTCTCTCTCTCTCTCTCTCTCTCTCTATATATATATATATATATATATATATATATATATATATAGGTAACTATACTCGTTTTGAAAAACCTTCAAATTTTTGATTTGCTAATAATTAAATCAATCTCAAAGGAAAAAAGGTTTTAAAAAAAAAAGAGCTAGAAACATGAAAGTCTGTCAAAAAAAATTCGCACAGATACAGGTTTGAAGCCCAAAGAAAAAACCCCAACACGAGTAAACAACTAACTAAAAGAGCTCAATACAATATATATATATTGTCAGCATTTCTTCATTAAGACATGTCTCATAAATAATTTAGATAAGTTTTGTTTGATTATTTTTGATGGGATCCTCTCATAATTACTTTAAAAACGAAACATTCTTGATTGTATCGAATTAGAAACGAATTTTCTAAAGAAAGTAATGGATTTAGATTAATCCAGAAGATTTTAATCACTTTAAATGTTAGTTTTAGTGGATACTCATATTTGAATAGACACTCCATTTATTTATTAAACAGTATTTCTTTTTGTCTATTGGCCAGAATATTTGAGAAGAAAAAAAGCCAACACTGAATAACATCAACTATGAATGCTACCACAATGTACTGAATGTGTTTTGTAAATAAAAAAACATTCACATAACTAGAGGTACATATATAAAAATCTGCACATTCAGTTAGAATTATAGATAAAAAAACATCCATGATAATGGTTCAACGAATAGCCAAAAGCACTATATATGTATATATATATATATATATATATATATATATATATATATATATATATATATATATATATGTATGTATGTATGAGGAGCCATGATATGATGAAATAGTCAGTCTGTGAATGATAATATATATATATATATATATATATATATATATATATATACCCTGAAAAATTAATTTCAGTTGAGCACTTTGGAGTGATTGTGCGAATTTGTAAACAGTGATTACTATCTCTGATAATGCAAAGCTCTTCCATAAATTGGGCCCTTTCGGTCACTGGCATGTTTATTCAAAAGAATATATGCAAAAATTCACCATCCTTTCTATCAAGCGCTGATGGCTTCAGGGTAAAATCTCTGAATGATGCCAAAACATTTGGGTTTCTATCGGCTTTGAAGCAATTGAATGTCTAGCCACACTGAGAGCCATAATACAGTGTAACAGTTTGTCTGTGGATGACAATATATATATATATATATATATATATATATATATATATATATATATATATATATATATATATATATATTGTGTATTTAGGCAGCAACCTTCTTTCATGCATGCTTCATAAAATATGACAGACAAGGTGGTTTAAGTTTTTTATATATGTTGGCTGTGTTTTGAAAATAAAACATTCCATAATATTAAATTCATACATACAACAGCTATTTCTAGTTTACAATTCATATATTTCATCCTTGAAAATGCTTAAATGCATAGCCAAAAGCACTTGGAAAATATATAACATTTGAACAGTTTTTGTATAATTTATCTACTGAAAAAAAATCATAAGATCATATAAGAAATTATGTAAAAAACTTAATCAAGCCACCTTGTCTCTCATAGTTAATGAAGCTTGCACACACACACACTCACAAACACACACACACACACACATATATATATGTATGTATATATGTGTGTGTGTGTGTGTGTGCAGGTATGTGTATGTACATATGTGTGTGTGTGTGTGAGTGTGTGTGCGTATGTATATACTTTGATAAACAAAGTATCCTTAACATGCCATATTTCATTTCATTTGACAAATACAAGATAAAACCAAGTGAAAAAATCA